CTGGTTTCTCTATACAAGACACCATTCTTTAACACAAACTTGGAGGGCTGCCCTTTTGCTGATACTGTGAGGTTTTGAGCCAAAGCGAACAAAGGTTTTAGAAATTCATCTGCTCTTTGTTCCTGTTGAATTTCTCTGACTCCTCCTGTCTTCTTAATAAGCTCAGCAACCATAGTGCTGGATTCTGGATTCTCATCCCCCTCCTGTTGTATGGCGAAACACATGGCTTTTTGATCAGGGCTTTTGCTGTTATATTCTTCCTCCTCACACATCATTCTCCACTTTCCAATCTTTTTAGCCAGATCATTTCCAATTAAACACCTGTATGGTATGTCTGGACTGACTGCAAAATCCCACATACCCTTCCAACCTCCATATTCTATTGGCAAAGACACTACTGCTGTTGGTATTGCAGGTCCCAAGCCTTTTAATCTTATTTCAGAGGTAGGATGCTGAAATTTCTGAGGTATTATATCTGGATGTATAATACACACATCAGATCCTGTGTCCCGCCACCCTCTCATGTCTTTGTTGTCAATGGAAATGGATTCTAAGTAATCCTCAGTTGCGGTGTTTGACAAAATGAACAAACATTGTTTCTCTTGAGGCACCGTTTCCGAACTCTCCTTTGACACAGTATTTGGTTCTGTTTTCTTTGTTTCTTTTACTTTATTAACGAAGAGGGTTGTCTTTTCTTTTCTTAAAAGGGGACATTGATACCTTATATGATCCCACTTTCCACACTGAAAACACCTAATTTTTCCCTCAGGAGCAGTTTGACTTGTTACACTCTGCCTCCTCCAGGAGGGGTTTTCTATTGCAGGACCTTTTCCTTGTTGTGGGCGCGTTTGATGTTGGTAAAATGGCTGCCTGTTTGTCCTTTTATCATTTGGCAGATCTTCCCTTTTGAATCCTTCTTTTAGGGTAATTAATTGATCTACCATAACCGCTGCCTCTACTACAGTGGATGGCTTTCGATCCTGTACCAGCCACCGAAAATCGGAAGGTATCAATTGGAAAAATTGTTCCAATTTTAAAAGTTCTCTCAGTTGTTGGTAATTTTCCACCTCAGACGTCCTTAGCCAACTATCGAACAGTTGAGACAATCTAGAGGCCACCTGAGCGAAACTTTGGTTCTTATCTCTTTTCAGAGTCCTGAACTTGAATCTGTAAAATTCAGGTGTTAATTGAAATTTCTGTTGAACCTGTCTCTTAAATAAATCATAATCCCCATAGGACTCCTCAGGCATTTCTCCATATATTTCTAAGAGCTTTCCACTTATTTGAGGCCTTAAGTACGTCATCCATTTTTCCTCAGCAACTCCAAAATCTTTACAACATCGCTCAAACAAGGTTAGAAACTTCTCTATATCGTCATCCTTAGTAAATTTAGGAAATACTAGGTTCTTGTAGGTTTTTTCGAGCTATAGGGCCATGTTCTAGAGGCATTTCTCCTGACGTTTCGCCTGCATCTATGGCAAGCATCCTCAGAGGAAGTGAGGGGGGGTGGTGGGCTAATTTTTTGCTTTTGCAGTTCAATTTCCATTCTCCTCAATTCTATCTCCTGTTCTCTCTCTTTTTGTCTTTCCTCAAACTCTCTTTCCCTTTGTTTTGCCTCTATTTCCAATCGTTTCATCTCTAGTCTGTGCCATTTCTGACACAGACACTGGCTCTGTTTCTGCTTCAGAGCCCAAACTTCCTTCTTGGTCTCCCATTGTTTCCTCAACAAGTTTTTTCTGTCATCTGGTAGCCATATTTCAATAACTTTTACCTCACAAATTATTCTCAAAGTAGTCTTAAGGCACTCAATCAGTTGTTAATCGTATCCCGTCGTCTGCCACCAATTTGAAAAGAAGCAGGGGAGCTGGGGGATGATTTATTGTTGCCACCAATTTGAAAGGAACCAGTATTCAGGAGATTTTTCCCCAGTTCCCAATTTTAAAAAGACTTAGCCGACTTGCAATGGAGGTTGCCGATTAGGAACCAAATTTACCATCAAGTTAGAAGGGAGGCTGTTCAATTGCACCTCCTCCTTTATTAAGAAAGTAATAACTTAGTAATAATTACACTGTATATACTGTAGCGTGACTGGAGAGAAGAATGTAGATTTATTTGGTTACTTTTCCCTACGTTTCTGCCACCACGTGAGGTAAGTTGTAATATTGTGAGAAATTGCACTTTGGACTCAGAATAGACGGAGCTGAGGCAATCTTTAAATAAAAGTTAACAATTTTATTAAGTACACAGCGTGTGGTTGCAAGATGTAACTTTTCCTTGTTGCACTTG